AAAAAAAAAAAAAAAAGGCAGCTAGAACTTGACTTCCATGTCAGGGACACAAGGGGAATGGATGGGGACCTGGATACCACAGCCCCCATTTAGAGGGACAACCTTGACACAGCTCCAGCCAATTACTGTCCTGTGGAGATGAGCCCTGTTTTGCCAGATCTGATTTTTCTTTCTCTTTTTTTGTACTGGGGATTGAACCCAGGGATGCTTAGCCACTGAGCTACATCCCCAGTTCTCTTTATTTTTTATTTAGATACAAGGTTTCACTAAGTTTCTTAGGGCCTCACTAAATTGCTGAGGCTGGCTTTGAATTTACAATCCTTCTGCCTCAGTCTCTCAAGCCACTGGGATTACAGGCCTGCGCCACTGGGCCCAGATTGATTTTTTTTTTCCCCAGAGAAGCTGGAAATCCTGAGTTGTACATAAAATATTCTCCCTTTCAAATGCTAGTTCTGAAGAATTTTTTAAAAAAATATCACAGCTGCTGAAATCATTTTTAACCCTATGTAGAACAAACTTGTCAGAGGTAAGAAGAGGAGAAAGTGAGGAATCTTTCCAGCCTTCTTTGGGGACCAGGGCCACCTGCCTTTGGTTTCCTCTGCCTAGCCTACGCTACTCTTGTCTCCCTCCTTCGGCAGACTGTGGTCCTGCGTAGGCTGGGGATCTTTTCTTTTTACTTGTCTCCCCCAGCCTGGCTCACAGTGCATGCCGTTGAGTGATCAAATGGGTTAAACCCTCTGATCTGGTTTCCTGAGTGGTGCACAGTCCCTATTTAGGGACAGGCAATTGTCAGGGAAGCTCAGAACAGAGCCAATTTGCCCTCACAGGCCCAAGTCCTCGCCAACTCCTATGCCCAGCAGGATGAGGTGGGCAGCCAGGGTCATGTGTTGGCCTGTGCCTTTGTCTGGTGCCTGTCTCCCCAGCAGAGTGGGTATTCCTTGAAAGCTGGCATGTGCCTACCTAGGTCAGCACTGTCCCGTCATCCATTTCCTTGGATGGTGGCTGCTCAGTAAATATTGTGGGGATGAAATTGGAAAAGAGACAGACAGAAATAAACAGAGAAGCTGAAATAGAGACAGGCTAGAAGAGGAACATGCTGTCAACAGCCAGGAAGGGACAGAGCAGAAGATGGAAACCGTGAAACACAGTCTCCCCAAGATACGCAGAGCTGGGTTACAGGGACGGCTGTCATGGAGGTGGTTACAAGGACTGTCCATCCAGGAGACTCCGCAGGGGCTGGAGCCAGGAGATGAAGGGGGGTGGAAGGAGAGAGAGAAAACAGGGGGAAAGAAGACAGCTGCAAAGAGAAGGTGAAAGAAACACAAGGTGAAGGTACACTGCCCAGGGTCAGTAACAAAGATAGCATCCAYGGGCAGCTGGGGAGAGGGGCACAGAGATAGAGAAGGGTCCAAAGAGGAGAGCGCATAAGACAAGTGGAGAGAAGCAGAGAAATGCAGAGAGGAGAAGGAGAGCGATAAAGAGATCCGCACAGGTAGAGTCAGGGAACAAGGCAAAGACAGACAGAAACAGAAAGATAGTGGTGACACTCCGGAGTGGTGTCTTTGTCTCCTTCCTCTTTTGGGCCTTGGAACATACAGAAGCAGTTCTGAGGAATATTGGTATCCATCCCTCCTTCCTTGGAACACCCTTTCTCCATAATAATAACATGGAAATTTGCCATGCACTGCACAAAATTGCTTTAGGTATATTGCCTCACCTGAAGAATCAGAAACCCCACTTATTTTTGTCTCCATTTTTACAGATGAAAAGCCTGAGGCACAGAGAGTTAAGTAATTTGCACAAAGTCACAAAGGACGAGATAGGGCTGAGGCTCCAATGCATTAGTCACTAGTGTGTCAGTGGGCCAGTRGCCCACAGTGGCCACAATTGGAAAATGATGTGACCTTTGTATCTGAAAGCTAACCCAAAGGATAGGTGAAGCAAATTTGCTGGAGTAAAAAGATATAAGAACCAGAACTCTCAAAATGTGGAAAAAAAAAAAAAGATGCAGATCTTGTTTGGATACTGCATTTGTCTAAAAGAAATGACATTATAACAATTTTTAGATAATCATGAAAATTTGAAAATGAATTGGGGAAGAGATACTATTTAACAATTAGGGCTGAGGGTGCAACTCAAAGGCCGAGTGCTTGCCTAGCATGTGGCAAGGCCTGGATTCCATCCCTACTACTGCAATAAWAAAAGGGAATTCTTAATCCTGGTAAGTATGACAATGACACTGTGAATTTGTAAGAAAATAGCCATATTTCTAAAACACACAAGTTGGGCATGCTGGCACCCACCTGTAATTCCAGCAGCTAGGGAGCCTGAGGCAGGAGGATTACAAGTTCAAAGCCAGCCTCAAAGCAATTTAATGTGGCCTTAAGCAAT